TCATGGGGCGCTCCGTGTAGGTGCGAGAGAGGCAGAGCGACGAAAACGACTCTCAGTGTGCTGGCGCACCCTGGGGGCCGCGGCTCGTCCCCGGCCTGCCGCCCGGCCGCCTGCACTGCTTGGAGGCGCGGAAGGCCCTCCGGAGGCCTGCCCCCCTCGTTTCGAAGAGGGCCATCATGGCGGCAGCCGCGCTGCGCCGGGCCTGGCCGGGCCCCCTCGGGTGGGCTGCGACGCGGCGACCCCCTCGGCGCTAAAATTAAACTCATTGGCGCAACTTAGTTTGGAGCGTGCATTAGGTTTTAGGGCCGCGTGCCCTAAACAGCCCCCGCCCCGGCGGACCACCCCGCCATTGTCGCGGCCCCGCATATTAACTCCCGCGAACGTCGCTGCCGCGCTGCCCTTGGCGCTGCCGCTGCAGTTCCGGGTAAATGTTGTGCCAGCCGGCAAGGAGCGGCGGGGAGCGCCCGCAGCGGCCCGGGCAGGCCACCCGCCGGCCGGCCGCCCCCGTCCGCAGGGGCTCCACTTGCTTGCTTTCACAGCAGCGTGGAGCAGACCGATTCCGAGAGTCGTTTTCGTCGTCACTCTGTCCCCCTCGCACCTACGCGGAACGCCAGTGCGAGAGAGACACGAGTCTCGGTCTGCCGCTGGCTCTGCCAGTGTAGGAGGCTCCTCGATGCCCTCGGCAGTGTAGCCGCAGCTCTGAAATAGCGACGAACTGCGTGACGGCCAATCGATGTCCGGCGAGCCTCCAACGGGCCTCCGTCGCTACGCCGCGGCGCACGCAGCGGGCTGATTCCGAGGGTCGGTTTCGTCGCTCCGTCTCTCTCGCACCGGCACGGGCCTGCGACTGGGGTCGTTTGGACAGGGACTCGAAGGGCTGAATACGAATCCTCGGCGTCCCCTTCGAAGAACAACAACAGCAAGCAACCTAATTGCAGAGAGCGCGCCACGCCTCGGCCACGCCGCACAGGGCAGCGCAGCAAAAACCGGAAATCTGTGAACCTGAGATAAATTAAGTAAAAAGTTGGCGCGTCCATTGGCGCAGCACGCGCCACTGCCGCTCTGAATTTTCGCGGCCACCTCTGTAATTTTGATTGGATCTCGCTTTCTCCCCCTCCCCTTCCCCTCCCCCTTCCCCCCTCCCCTCCCCCCTCCTTCCCCTCCCCTCCCCTCCTCCCCTCCCCCTCCTCTCCCCTCCCCTTCCCCCCTCCTTCCCCTCCCCTCCCCTCCCCCTTCCCCCCCTCCCTTCCCCTCCTTCCCCTCCCTCCCCCTTCCCCTCCCCCTCCCCCTTCCCCTTCCCCTCCCCTCCCCTCCTTCCCGTCCCGTTTCCGCCTAATCTCTAAAAGGCTCATCAGGCCGTGTCTGTAATTGGCCGCGCCACTAATGGGCTGCCCCCCTTCCCCCCATTTCTATTACCGCACTTCGATACCTCGAAATCCAGTCCGCCATCTCCCGCGCGGCGCCCTTTTCAAAAGTGAAATCCCGTCCCAAGAAACGGGCCGCCCTCTTCCAGGAAGTCCAGTGGTACACTCTAAAAAGTTACCGATTATACCCTGAGAATGGCACAAGCACCGTCTTAAAGTCGTACAGTGAAAATTCTCCATTTTGTCATTGAAAATTTCCATATTGTTGTAAAAATTCTGGATACTACGGTGCTACAGCTGACTTTGTTACTTATCTCTAAAAATTATTTGTACCACGTAGATATTTTGTTGAATTTATTTTGTGTTTTAGAGACAATCTCCATCGCTGCCAGTTGGTGCAAACTTTCACCGTCAGACAAGAAAGGGTTCATTCTACAAATGTCGCTTTCTTTGAATTATGGAAGGCTTTATTTGTATCTCACTGCGAATCTCAAATTATGTATAAAAGCTTAGTTAAAGGTAAATGTTGATGCTCCGTATGACGCTCGGGCTGAAACTCACTGAGATGGCGTTGCGCGCGTTGCGCCGCCCCGAGCGGATTCCTGGTCCTGCACTGTTGGCTGGACTACCCGCGCCGCGTGCCACGTGCAGTGTGCACGCCTCCAGGACGCCGACGTCGCGCCCCGCGCCCTGGCGGCAAGGCCGAGCAGCACGGCAGCAGCCAGGCACTGTAGACCGATTCCGAGAGTCGTTTTCGTCGCTCTGTCTCTCTCGCACTCGGATGGGACGCCCCATGAGGGCGAGAGAGACAGAGCGACGAAAACGACTCTCGGAATGAGTCTGCCGGGGGCGTCCAATTCCCGGCTACATCAGCATTCCGACCCCGCCGCTTTGTTGCCGCAAATGCGGTTATCTAACGAACAAAAATGAGCGCACAGGTCCTGAATGGAAATGAAGACAGAAGGTTCCGAGGGTGGGGTGGGGCGGGGCGATGCGGGGTGGGGCGGGTAACTGTGTTTCCCTTTTGTCGAAGCGACAGGCCGAGCAAATTGTGAGCTTTGCCGGGCGCGTGCGGCCTGGCGCCACCGTGCCATTCACTTATTACGTCCGAGCCACTTGGCTGCCATTCGAGCGTGGACTGCCAGGGACCAGTTACAAGCGCGGACCCGGAGAGGGGGGAGAGGGGAGGGGAGGGGGTGATTGGGGTGCACTGTAAATGTCTTACGGTGAAAGGCTGCATCAACATATTAATGGTGGAGATTTTTTCCATAATACCGACGAAATTCGTCAAAATATCTATAAGGTACAGTGAATTCTCCATGGTATGTCATGAGGTCAGCTGCACCACCATAATATGGAACATTTTCACCATAATATGGAGAATCTTCACTGTACAACATTTAGAGTGTGTCGCTCCTGGAAGGTACGCAAAACTTCGCACTCTACTCTGTAAGTAGGCAACTTTTGCTACATCCTCCTGCTCCTCCTTCTCTCTCTCTCTCTCCCCCCCCCCCTCCCCCCGTACTATCAGGGACTTCCAAGGAGGGACTGCCTGGCACTGCGTTCGACCGGACCCGAGCAGCAGCTTTGCGGTGCGTCGCCAGCAGGCTCCAGTCGCTTCCTCGCTCTCCATCCTTCTCGCACCCCCACGGGACAGCCCCCTGAGTGCGAGGGAGACAGAGTGACTGGACGGACGCCTGGAATGCGGGGGTTCGGTCACAAAGCTGTATCCACGATCCACGACGGCATCCCCGTGCACTGTTGGATTTGGCGGGGCAGAACCAGGCAGAGCCAAGCAGTGTGGGGCAGGGCAGCCACCCCGGCGCGGCGCGGCGCAGGGCCCCTTCCCGTATCTAATGAAACGGCGGGACAAAAGCGGCTATCTTATCGCCGGCTGAAATGAGGGCCGCTATCTCACGCGCCCGCCGAGTGTACGACTTGCTCGGCGTCGCAGCGCAGTGGGCCTGAAGACCGGTGGAGGCGGCCAAAATCCTGAACGCGTTTTGAGCTCCAGAGTCCCTTAACATGACTAGAACCGAACGTTGTGACCCCACCAATGGGTTCCTTGTTCGGAGGGCAATCCATTGGTGGGGTCACACGCTCGGTTTGAGTCCCATTTGGTGACTCTCGTAGAGCTCAAAGCGCGTCCGAGGTTTTGACCGCCTCCACCGGTCTTCTGGCCCACTGTGCGCGGCGTGGCGGCGCGATTGTCTGTTCTGTCGGGCTGGCTTGTGTTTCTTGTTAGCTTGGGCTGGACGGGAGCGGCGCCACAGGGCGTTCCAAGGCGTTCCAAGGCGTTCCAAGGCCCAGCCGGCGGGCCGCCAAAAAGCCAGCGCCCCTGGGCAAATCCGCCTTTGACGCGCCAGCAAACTTGGAACAGCGGGACGGACGACTCGAGCTCCGCCAGCTCCGCGGCCACCGCAAGCAGCACCCAAAGCAGGCCAGCAGGCGATCGGCCGTCGTCGTCGGCGTCCGTCCAGGCAGCCCAGCCTTCAGCAGACTGATCCCGAGAGTCATTTTCGTCGCTCTGTCTCTCTCGCACCTGTGCGGGACGGCCCTTGAGCACGAGAGAGACAGAGCGACGAAACCGATTCTCGGAGTCAGTCTTCAGCAGGCAGACTTCTAGACTTCACAGTCGTCGCCCAGAATGGAGGAGAGCTGAGCCCAGCCTAACAAGTTGGCCGCGACCCGCCCCTTCCCTCCCCTCCCCTCCCTTTCCGCGGCTCCGCACTCTGGCCAAGTTTCGCCTTTCAGATGTAGACACTAGATACGGGCAAATATTGATTAAGTCTGGATGGAGTAGCGAGTCGCCTTTGCGGCCCCGGCGGCGCAGCCTTTGAACCGTCGTGGCGAGTGGGCGCGCGTCAGCCCGCCGTCAGCACACCGTCAGCGCCGGCAGTGTGACAAACATGACGGCGGGGAAAGGGCGGCGCGTCACTGAATGGGACAGCGTTCGTAGACATGGCACTTCCATCACGCCGAATCCCAAGAGTTTTGATTCCTTTCCGTTCTCGCATCACCGCCTGAGACGCTTTTCTGAAAGGAAGTCGGAATGATATTGTTGGGTTAGGTTAGGTTGGCAACGCGAAGCGCGGGAAACGAAAACAACAAAAACAACGGACGGCCGTCCGCCCACCGCCCCTTTGTTCGCCGCCATGCCGCCCTCCCGCTGTTGTGCGATTAAGTTTCGCGGTTTCGCTCTGCAAGCGAGGAGAGTTTGAGTCGGAAAAGAGGAAAGAAAACGATGCGGCGAAGCAAGGATGTGGATTGCCGAGAGTCGAGTGGCTAATCGTAAAGAATCTTGGACTGGAAAGTGTTGTCAGTGTTAGTGTTGTGTGGCCTTTTCAACTTCGAAACGGAGTTGCTTTCCCTAGCTCCTCCGCGGCCCTAACCACCAAAGTTTGGAGATGACTCCTGTTTGATCTCACAATCGACTCACACTGGACCTTAGCAAGTTGAGCAAAGGAGCTTGCTGCCTCTGAAAATTTGTGCCAAAGTCCCCACCAACGGCTTTGCTAATGGCTCACTCTGATAGGCTGCGTGCAAAGTAAAATGTTATGAAATGGAACAGGAGTGTCAATGTGAGTGTGAAATTTTTTGTGTAGCGTTGTAACGACCCTTTGTTTGTTGTTGCAGGGGCCATGGCGGCCTGCCCCGCCGTCGGCCTGAGCGTGCCCTGGGCGCCTTGAGTCAGGCAGTCAGCCCTACGAGCAGCTCGACTCAAAAAGGTGAGTCACCACGAGGATCTTTGGTACTCACTTAAAGTGAGCTGACAAGGGTGGATCCAGAGTCGGGTACGAGGGGGTGATGTCGCAAATGTTGCCTATGCGTGCCTATGCCTGGAGGCAAAGTGCGACTTGTTGCCTACCTTTCAGGCGGCTTCGTCGCCTTCGGCGGAAACGCCCCCATCGCCTAACCCCTGGATCCGCACCTGCCATACTACGCCTTAGTTCTGCCAGTGCAGGTGAGCTCGACTCACAAAAGTGAGCCCACACGAGCGCCTTGGCTCACAAAAGTGAGGCCCCCGGAGCACCTCGGCTGTGGCAAAGGTGAGGCCTCACACGCGACGCTCAATAATTCGCAATGGACTGGTTCACTTCCCTAATGGCGGGTCGTTTCGCCTTCGGGACTGTCAAAAAAAGGAGCGGGAAGGACGCGGGACGAGCGGGGGCAGGGGAGCGTGGCGCGCGCTGTAAGCAAACATATAAAGTGGCCTTTAGCGTCAGGCTGTGACTTCTCTCTGTCAGGAACGGCCGTCTGTAACGAATGGCCGAATGGGCGAACGACTGCGGGCGACCGCGTCTCGTTACCGGGAGCCGCCGACTTTCCTTCGCCGCTCTGTCTCTCTCGCACTCATGCGGCGTGCCGTGTAGGTGCGAGAGAGACAGAGCGACGAAAGCGTCTCTCGAAACGAGTCCGCAGCACGACGGCGGCGACTCGTGGTCGGGCGGAACGCCCCGCCCCGCCCCGCCCCGCCCCGCCCCGCCCCGCCCCGCCCCGCCCCGCCCCGCCCCGCCCGCGCCCGCTCCGCCCCGCCTCACCCCGCCCCGCCCCGCCCCGCCCCGCCCCGCCCCGCCTCGCCGTGGCCAGCACGCCGCCAACAGCGCCCTCTGTGTTCCCGGAACAATACAACGCCGCCGGCAAACTTTTACGCCCCTGTTTATGTCGAAATAAAATCGCCAACTGGCGCGCGGCCCAGATGGATGGGCGGGGCGCGACCCACTGACAGTGTGTGCGGTCAGGGAAAGGGGGAGGGGGAAGGGGGAAAGGGGGAGCACCCCGACGACCGCCAACCGGTAATTTATCGTCGGGGGACCGTTGCAGTCTCGCAGTGTATCATGAGTGCGTGCACTGTGGAGTGCCCCCCGACCGCGTCCGCGCATCCCCGGCGGCCTGGCCCCCCAGACCGCGGCCACCGCGGCCGCATTCCGTCGACGCGGTGCTCGCCGCCGACGAGCCGCCCGCAGACTGATTCCGAGAGTCATCGCTCTGTCTCTCTCGCACCGCCAGGAGACGCCCCGTGAGTGCGAGAGAGACAGAGTGACGAAAACGACCCTCGGAGTCGGTCCGCTGCGCCGCAGGCTAGGCCGCCGCGGTTACTTATTTCTAAATAATGACGCGCCGTTTGGCCTCGCGGTGTGGTGGCCGTGCTGCGGACCGATTCCGAGAGTCGTTTTCGTCGCTCTGTCTCTCTCGCTCTCATGAGCGTTGCCCGAAGGTGCGAGGGAGACAGAGCGACGAAAACGACTCTCGGATTCTGTCCGCTGGCCTGTGCTGGCGGGGGCGGACCCGGCGGACTTTGGGGGCCATTCATCGCCGCGCTGGGAGGGAAGCCCCTCCGGCCCGCGCCTCCAGCAGCGGACTCATTCCGTCGCTCTGTCTCTCTCGCGCACCCATGTGGCGTGCCGTACCGGGGCGAGAGAGACGCAGAGCGGCGAAACGATTTTTTTTTGGGGTGGATCGCTCGGCAGGTGGTGGTGGCGTCGGTGAGGCAGGTGGCGCTATCTGATGCCTTGCCCCCGCACCGTCGCACCGCCACACTGCCGCCCCGAGGCCGCGCCGCCTCCGCGCCACTGGAGTGATAGCGGTGTCATTACTTGTAATGAGCACTTGTGTGTGAGTGAGTGCGTGCGTGTCTGTGTGTGACTGAGAGCGGGTGCGTGTGTGTGCGTGTGTGTGTGTGTGTGTGTGTGCGTGCGTGTGTGTTTGTGTGTGTGTGTGTGTGTGAGAGAGAGAGAGAGAGAGAGAGAGAGAGAGAGAGAGAGAGAGAGAGAGAGAGAGAGAGAGATGGAGAGAGAGACTGAGAGTGAGAGAGAGGTGCGAGCGCTATCACGACCCGATGGACACGCTCCTCACCGCGCTGGAGGCCCTTGAGGTCCTCGAAGACGCCAAAGCAGCCCGGCGAGGATATTCATGGGGCTGCCAATGTATGCGTGGCGGTGCCCCGACGCGCGTCGTTCGCTGCCGCGCTTCCCCCAAGCACCCCTCCGTCCTTGCTCTTTCTTACCGGCCCGGCGGAGTCTTGTTGCAGGCTGCAGAGTCGTTTTCGTCGCTCTGTCTCTCGCACTCATGGTGCGAGAGCGACAGAGCGACGAACACGGCTCTCACTGAGAAAACCTTACAAACTATTTTGGGCCTTACAAAGAAAAGTAGTTTGTATAACAAAGTATTTTGAGCATACGTAAGCTTGCAAAGAAAATACTTCGTAATTTACGAACTATTTCTTCGTATAACAAAGTATTTTAGTTTGTTATACGTATGCTCAAAATACTTCGTAAGTTTTTAAGAGTGCTCGGAATCAGTCGGGTGGCTGGTCCGCCCGGCTCCCTGCTGACCCTAGAATGCGGCAAAAAGGATGCGAAGGAAGTAAAAAACAACATACAAAAGCGACGAAGGATGGAATTGTCTTTGAAGTCGGGCTGCGATGATGCTTCGCTCCGTGGCGTCGTGTTGGTTTAACATGAGGCACCCTTTCAGCTTCTGTCGTACCTCTCCGGCTTGCCCCTCGCTGGCTTGCCTCGTATCTCGATTCCTTTCTTGAGATGGGATAGGGTGGCACGGCCCCGCCAACTTGAGCCCTTCCCACAGACAGCCACTCCAGCTCTCTCTCTCTCTCTCTCTCTCTCTCTCTCTCTCTCTCTCTCTCTCTCTCTCTCTCTCTCTCTCAGACACACACACACACACACACACACACACACACACACACACACACACACGTGGCCCGACCCGCAGACCACCTGCACACCGCATCACCATTTTCGTCCCAATTTCCGCTTTTCCCGAGGAAAAGCTTTAAAAAAGCAAGTCAATGTCAAGGGCGCTCGTGGTGGCGGGGAGGGGGGAGGGAAGGACGATGGAGTGATTGGGCAAGGGCAGTGTTTACATTCGGGTCCCGCAACCACGTCGACGCCGCGCCATCCCTCCTTGTCGCACGCGCGCTCTGCGGAGACTGATTCCGAGAGTCGTTCTCGTCGCTCTGTCTCTCTCGCACTCATGGAGCGTCCCGTAGGGGTGCGAGAGAGACAGAGCGACGGAAAGGAATCTCGGATTCAGTCTGCTGGCATATGGGCGTCTCTGTCTGTTTGCCTGCTGTTTGCCTGCCTGTCGGCTGCGCAACGTGAATTAGCAGTGCCGTGGGACTGCGCTGTGCGAGCGGATGGCCCGGGTTTGCCTGTTGAAAGCGACACTCGTACAAAAGCATGGCGGGGTTCGAAATCCGATTGGCTGTGCTTTCCGTCCCCCCGCGCGCCTCCACAATAAATCTTTGCATATAAAGAGTGTATCCAAGATTTCTGCCCCGGCGGTATTCTATTCAGCGGCACGCCGCCGCCGCGCTCTCTGGAAGGAAAAGAAAGAAGCGTTCGGAGGAAGACAGCAGCGGACTGTTGCCGAGGAGCGGTGTCGTCGCTCTGTCTCTCTCGCACTCATGGGACGTGCCGCACAGGTGCGAGAGAGACAGAGCGACGGGATCGACTCTCGGAATCAGTCTGCGGGCGATCCGCGAGTCGCGAATCCCATTTCCAGCCGCGGGGGACGTCTGGCGCTCGGCGGCGCTCGGCGGCGCTTGGTGACCGATACCTCGCTGAGCGATTGGATTCGAGCGGCAAGTGGATTGACGACGCCAAGACGGAACAAATGGGATCGCCCTGCAGACCGATTCCGAGAGTCGTTTCCGTCGCTCTGTCTCTCTCGCACCGGGACGGCACGCCTCATGAGTGCGAGAGAGACAGAGCGACGACTCTCGGAATCAGTCTGCAGAGCGGAACCGGGGCGGCACCTGGCGCGTGGCAGCTGCTCCTGCCGCCGGGATCGTTTCGTCGCTGTCTCTGTCGCACTCACGGGCCGTCCCGTAGGGGTGCGAGAGAGACAGAATGACGCGGGCGGCCCGGACGACGCCGCGACTCGAAGGCTGGCCCCAATGTGCGGCGCCATTACCGACGGGTCTGTTACAAAGGGCTGACATGCGGAGGCAGTAAAAACACGCCATGTTGTTTTCTTTCGCGTGGGGCGTCGCCGGGGAGTCGAACCCGCGTCCTCGCGCTTGACAACACAAGCGGCCGTTGCCAGGCACCTTCACTGCTCACTTCCTTTTGTGGGCCGGCGATGGGCCCCCAGGCGGCCGTTGTCCCAACAGCGCCCCAGGGCGGGCTTGGCGGGAAGCCTCCCCCTCCACCGCCTTTAATTTGCGACCCGGATTGTGTCCCGATCGGTGGTCAGGAGTTGGGCCCCTGTGTCAGAACCGCACGCCGAGATGGGTCCGTGGAGAGTGGAGCGGGCGGGCCGGGGCGGGCCCCTGTTAAATAGAGACCCTTAGCCCTTCTCGTTACATGGGGCTCTCCGTGGCGTGGGCAAGCGGTTGCGGTTGCACACAGCAAGGTGGCCGCATCAAGAGGAGGCGGGTGTATGCCATTTTGAAAGAAAAAAAGAAATAGAGACATTCTTGTTTTTGTCGCATCTCGATTCTCCTCGATATGGGTGCATGGCAGCTTGTGCCGCTCTGGACGCTCTGGACGTTGTACATTCTGGACGCTCTGGACGTTTTTGACTTTCTGGACCCTCTGGACGTTCTTGGCTTTCTGGACGACCTGGATGCTTCGGACGTACTAGACGCCCTGGACGTTCTGACGCCCTCCCTCGACGTTCTCGACGCTAACGATCTGGACTTCCTAGACGCCCTGGGCGTTATGGACGCTCTGGATGTTCTGGATGTCGTTCTGGACGATCTGGA